TTTCAAGGAACAAAAAAATAAAAAATAAAAAAAAGCAACCAGGAAAATCCTGTTGCCTTTAGGAAAAAAAAAAAAAAAGCACCTGTAGGACAACGGTGACCTAAAGCAGGGGTCTCCAACCTTGGGCACTTTATGACTAGAAAGAAGCAGGGGTATCGCTATAAGAGGTCCCCAAATCCAACAATGGGCTTGTCCCACCGCTCTCCTGCTGCTTGCTGTGGAAGGACAAGGCAGCTCGTCACTAAGGGAGGCTGAGGGTTGGCCTGACTGTCCCGGGACCCTGGCTAAGCCACAGAGACCTCCTGCGTGGCCACCGCCTGGACTCAGACAAGGAGCCTGAAGGCATCTGCCAGGGATGGCCGTTCTCGGTGCCTGTCCTGTGGAAGAAGGACTAGGGGGGACATGATAGCAGTGTTCCAGTATCTCAGGGGCTGCCCCAAAGAAGAGGGAGTCAAGCTATTCTCCAAAGCAGCTGAAGGGCAGACAAGAAGCAGCGGATGGAAACTCATCAAGGAGAGAAGCAACCTAGAACTAAGGAGAAACTTCCTGACAGTTAGAACAATTAACCAGTGGAACTACCTGCCTCCAGAAGCGGTGAAGGCTCCAACACTGGAAGTCTTTAAGAAGAGACTGGACAGCGCTTTGTCCGAAATGGTATGGGGTCTCCTGTCTGAGAAGGGGGTTGGACTAGATGACCTCCAAGGTCCCTTCCAACTTTATTAACAACCTGCCTCCAGAAGCGGTGAGTGTTCCAACACTGGAAGTGTTTAAGAAGAGACTGGACAGCCATTTGTCTGAAATGGTACAGGGTTTCCTACCTGAGCAGGGGGTTGGACTAGATGACCTCCAAGATCCCTTCCAACATAATTATTATTATTATCATCATCATTATTATTATTATTATTATTCAGTGGAACAGAAGTTGTGGGTGCCTGAACAGGGGGTTGGACTAGATGACCTCCAAGGTCCCTTCCAACTTTATTATTATTATTATTAAGACCAAGTCCACTGATCCAGCCTTTTCAGATCAGTTGAATAGAACGGAGCTGGAAGGGACCCTGGAGGTCTTCTAGTCCAGCTCCCTGCTCAAGCAGGAAACACTATACCGTTTCGGACAAGTGACCTTCTAGTAGTGTCTCAAAAACTGTTTGACTTGGATGACCCCCTGGCCAAGCCCTGACCTTGCGCCCGGCCATCCTTCCCCAAACGGATGCAATCAAAAGCATTACAAGGGCTACTTTCCTGCTCCAGGCTGACCGGCCAGATGCCTTTCGGCCCCCCACAGCTCAGGTCCTCTCCTCCCCAAAAGCTTCTTTGGAAAACCTTCTTCCCACAGAAGGATCCGGCCTGGGATGGAGGCGGCTTTGGCCGACAGCCCCATTTCCTTCCCCCCCACCCGTTGTAAGTCAAGGACTACCTGGGGGCTTGTCCTGCCTCTCCTCCACCCCAGAGGACCCGCCACGGGTCTCAAGACCCCCACTCTTGTCCAGCTCCATTTCCCCCCCCCCCTATCTTTCAATCAGAACTGCCTTTCCTGGAACTTAAACCCGCAATTCCACATCCTGCCGCAAAGCAGGACCCCCGTTTCTTAGGCCCCGTCTCCCCATCCCACATCCTTCCTTGAGGTGTGCAGCTGCTTTAATCCACTTTAATCGCTTTTCACCATCTTGCCTTTCTGTTACCCACCGTCCTCTTTCTCTGAACCGGTTCCAAACTGGGAAGGGTGGGTGGGTGGGAAACGTGCTCTATTAAGGAAGTTACAGGCTAGGGGGGAGAAAACAAATTCAAAGGAAGGAGGGATTTATTTGCCCGAAGGCAAAGTTATAAATTTGAATCTGGACAAACTCCTGCTGGAGCCTAGGCCGATGACTGGAGGTTTACAAGAGGTTTACAAGCTGGATTCTTTAGCAGCTGCTCAGGGATACTTTTGGACGTTTTGCAGTTTTCCCAGATTTCCTTTCTTCCTCCCTTCCAGTCTGTCCTCCTCCTCCTCCAGTTTTCTGGCACTCCCCCAGTTTTCCAGGATTTTTAAGCAAGGACAGCGGAGGGTTCAGCCAAACTATTAGCTTCCTCCCTCGCGTATCCTAGGAGCAAGTCCTCGGGAGGTTACTGCAGTTCGTTCCACATCCCTCTACGGGAAAGTTATAGATTTGAATCTTTCATCCATTATCCCGGGGGTCCTCAAGCTTAGCCACTTTTAAGACTGGTGGACTTCAAGTCCCAGAATGCTTGGCTACTTTTAAGACTGGTGGACTTCAAGTCCCAGAATTCCTCAGCCAGCTTTGCTGGCTGAGGAATTCTGGGAGTTGAAGTCCACCAGTTTTAAAGTGGCCAGGTTTGGGGACCCCTGCTTTATCCAGTCCTTCAAAGTTCCTGATGGAGCCTTTGTGGCTGTTCTTGAACACGGAACCAAGAATGGGAATTCAATGCAGGTAGTCCTCGGATTACAACCGTTCCATTTAGTGACTTTAGCTCAAACACGTGACTTGTGACCGGTTTTCATGCTTACAACTGGACAGCTAAGTCTTTGAGATACAAACATTGCTTTAGCGGCTGTTTGAAGTTACAACAGCACTGAGGAATGTGACTTGTGACCAGTCCTCGCACTTATGACCCTGGCAACATCCCCAGTCATATGATGAAGATTTGCATCCCGGGTAACCAGATAGTCCTCGACTTACAGCAATTCATTCAGTGACCGCTCAACGTAACCGTGGCAGTGAAAAAAGGGACTTAATACCGTTTTTCAGACTTACGACCGTTGCAGCATTCCCCAGGGTCACGTGATCAGAATCCGGGATGCTTGGCAACTGGCTCCTATTTTATGACGGTTGCAGTGATCCCCTTTTGTGACCTTCGGACAAGCAAAGTCAACGCAGGAAGCTGGAATTAGTTTAACATCTCTTGATTCATTTAACAACTGCAGTGCTTCAGTTAACAACCACAGCAAAGAAGGACATAAAATCAGACTTCGCTTACTTAACCACGGCTTTGCTTAGCGACGGAAATTCAGGCCCCCAACAGTGATCATAATTTGAGGACTATTCGTGAGAGATGGGGCTTTTTGCAAACCATGCTCTAACCCAGGGGTCTTCCAACTTGGCCCATTGATGACTTGTGGACTTCAACTCCCAGAATTCCTCAGCCAGGCACACTGGCTGAGGAATTCTGGGAGTTGAAGTCCACAAATCAAAGCGCCAAGTTGGAAGACCGCTGACTTAAAGCATCCTGGCTGGGGAATTCTGGGAGTTGAAGTCCACAAGTCATCAAAGGGCCAAGTTGGAAGACCCCTGGCTTTGACCAAAAGACCCCCCCCCACTCCTCAAAGTATTCCACACTCAGCCATTAAAAATGTATTCATTTATTTAGAAAATCTTCATAGCTGTCTGCTCGCTCACAGCGGCTTACAATAAAACACAGTGTAGAAAATATATATATATAAAAAAATAAAAAACAACAGCCTCCCCACCCCCCACCCTGGCGAGAACCCAGAGCCAAGTGAGCTGTGGGAGGGGGCCCATCCCAGACTGGGTTCCGCAGCCCCCCTGACCAAACCGGGTCTTCGGGGGGGGGGCTTGCGAAAGAGTGTCAAAGGGACGGTTTGATTTGTGAGTTTGTGAATGAAGAATGGCCGTAGCTGGAGCGACAACAACCACCACAATTGGAGGTTAAAAATCCAGCATCCGGAGGGTGTTGGGAAACCTGGCATTCAGATGTGCTGAAGCCGCCCCTTCCCCGCCCTTCCCCCAGATTGAACTTTGCAGGGGTCTCACGGCAGAGACAGCCCCCCCTCCCCAGACTAGAGGGGGTCTTGTTGGTGGGTGGGGGAGAGTCAGCAGGCTCAGCATTGGAGGGTCTGTTTAGCTTGGGAGGTGCCACTGGACTGGACCCATGCTGAACGAGACGGTATAGGTTCTCCTGCCCGAGCAGGGGGTTGGACTAGAAGACCTCCAAGGTCCCTTCCAGCTCTATTCTATTCTATTCTATTCTATTCTATTCTATTCTATTCTATTCTATTCTATTCTATTCTATTCTTCCATTCCTTATTCTATTCTATTCTATTCTATTCTATTCTATTCTATTCTATTCTATTCTATTCTATTCTATTCTTCCATTCCTTATTCTATTCTATTCTATTCAATATTCTATTCTATTCAATATTCTATATTCTATTCTATTCTACTCTACTCTGTTCTATTCTATTCCTATTCTATTATTTTCTATTCTATTCTATTCTATTCTATTCTATTCTATTCTATTCTATTCTATTCTATTCTTCCATTCCTTATTCTATTCTATTCTATATTCTTATTCTATTCACTATTCTATTCTATTCAATATTCTATTCTATTCAATATTCTATATTCTATTCTATTCTACTCTACTCTGTTCTATTCTATTCCTATTCTATTATTTTCTATTCTATTTTCTATTCTATTCTATTTTATTCTATTCTATGCTATTCTATTCTGTAGTCCTCGACTTACTTCATTTAGTGACTGTTCAAAGTTACAACGGCAGTGAAAAGAGCGACCTACGACCACTGTTCACCCTTGCGACCGTCGCAGCATCCCAAGGTCACGTGATCAAAATTTAGACGCTCGGCAACCGACTCGTATTTACGACGGTCGCAGCGTTCCTGAGGTTCAGCTGGCTCCCTTTTGCGACCTTCCGACGAGCAAAGTCAATGGGAGGGGGGAAGCCGCATTCACTTCACAACCGCACGGTCCATTTAATGACGGCAGCGATTCACTTAAGAACGGTGTCAAGAAAGGTCGTCAAACGGAGCGAGAGAACAAATCGCCCTCATTCAGCGCCGGAAATTGTTGGGCCCAGTGTGGTCGTTAAGCCAAGGGCTGCCTGGAATGGCTGCGGAGTGCCCCCTCGCTGATCGGGCCTCAGGGGCTGGAGCGGGTTCGAAACCCGGCATCCGACCGGCCCCGGGGTCAGATCCTGGCCGTCTCCCCACGGAAAACCTAGGCAACAGCCGCCTGAGTCAGCGCAGGAAGACGAGCCAGCAGGGCCTGGCCCCACGGCTTCCCTGACCCCCCCCCAGGGAAGAGCCCTGCCTGCCCCAGGAGAGGCTGCTCTGCCTTGGGAGGGGGGCATGGAGGCTGTTCTCACCCCAGGAAGCTGCAGAGAGGGGGGGGCAATCTTGCATCAGCCAGCGCTGGGCACCCTCTTCCTCCCAGTTCATGGGTCAGCTTCAGCCTCCCAGATGAGGTGTGTGTGTGTGGGGGGGGTCAGGATTCCCTGAAAGGGGAAGCCCCACCCCATGGGGGTCCTTTCTGCTGCTGCTGCTGTTCTCTCCATCTCCCTCCGTTCACTGCGGGCTGGATTCTTCCACCCCGGCTGAAATGCAAACACACACACACACATACACAAACACAGGGAAAAAAAATATAATCATCAACCAGGTTGCAAGGAAAGAGGGGAGGGGGGATAGTTTGGGCTCAGCCAGGACCTGCTTCCCTCCCCACAGCATGTTTGGGGGGGGGGAGGAACAGCGAGAAGCCGGAGCTGGCCAAACCTCGGAGCAAGTCACACAGAGGGGCTTTGTCTGCTGGCCGAACCCACAAACCCATCCTCTTCCCTTCCGTCTTCAGGGCGGTCCATTCATCCTCAGCTGCCCCCCCCACTACCCCCCCCCCAGGTTTTGGCAGGCAGGCAGGCTGATTCACCCTCTCCCGGGGCCACATTTAGCCCAGCAGCTATTTCCGGAGTTCCTGCCCTGGGAGGGGAATTTTGGAAAAAAAAAAAAACGGCTTAGGAGGCTGGTGGGCAGCTGCCCAGATGTGCTTAGCATCTGGGGAGGGGATTCTGGGGCTGCTGCCCCCTTTTGGGGCTGCTAACCGCCCCCCCCCCAAGTGCTACAGGGCTGTCCTCCTGTGTGTGGACAGTCCAGCAGCCACGGGATCCTCACTAAGGGACAAGTCTGACTGGACTGGCTAGGACAGGGGTGTCCACACGCGGCCAGGTTAAGACGGGTGGACTTCAACTCCCAGAATTCCTCAGCCAGCAGAGCTCCAGGGTAGGGGCAGGCCACCCCACCGTTCAAGGCAAGAAAGGGATCTTAGGGCCATCAAAGACTCTTCACGAGTCTCAGCCCTGATGATGTTCCCTAGCTGGGCCACAAAACGTCTGCCAGAAAAGCACCAGGGACCCCACAGTCGTCGTCCTCCTCCTCACAGACCCCCTCCCTTCTAGCTCAGAGGGCACTAAGGACCCACCCCAGTCCTCCTCCTTCTCCCCCTTCTCCTCCCTACAAACCCCTCTCTCTTCTACCACTGATGATGTTCCCTAGTTGGGTAATGAAATGTCTGCAAGGAAACCACCAAGCTCAGAGAGCACCAGGGACCCCACAGTCATCGTCGTCCTCCTCCTCCTCACCCCCCCCAACCCATCTAGCTCAGAGGACACTAAGGACCCCACATTCCTCCTCCTCCCCCTCTCTACAAACCCCTTTCTCTTCTAACACTGATGATGTTCCCTAGTTGGGTAATGAAATGTCTGCAAGGAAACCACCAAGCTCAGAGAGCACCAGGGACCCCACAGTCGTCGTCCTCCTCCTCCTCCTCCTCCTCCTCCTCACACACCCCCACCCATCTAGCTCAGAGGACACTAAGGACCCCACATTCCTCCTCCTCCCCCTCTCTACAAACCCCTTTCTCTTCTAACACTGATGATGTTCCCTAGCTGGGTCATCAAATGTCTGCAAGGAAATGACCAAGCACAGAGTGCACCAGGTACCCCACAGTCCTCCTCCTCCTCCTCCTCCCCCCTTTTCCTCCTCCTCCTCACAATCCACCCCCTTCTAGCACTGATGATGTTACCTAGTTGGGTCATGAAACGTCTGCAAGAAAACCACCCAGCTCAGAGAGCAACCAGGACCCCCAAATTCAACCCTGGGCTGCAAAGATCCTTTGCTGCCAGCACTGCTGTTGACTCTCTGAGTGTGTGTGTGTGTGAGAGAGAGAGAGAGAGCACAACTGCCACTTTCCACTGCTGGGTGGCTTCTGGAGCTTGAAAGCCGAGGGAGCCCAGCCCCTCCCAGGGGAAGGGGTGGCCGTGGGGACAGGGGCTTCCCACACTGCCTGCCAGCTGGCAGATGATGCCCAGCCCCCCCCCTTGGCAGTTGTGCCCGCTGCCGGCTACTCACGCTTGAGAGTGAGCAGGGTGGTGCCATGGCAACAGGAGACCGAGACCACCAGGCTGGGGGGGCCCTCTTCCAGCTGCACGGGCCGGGGGCTCCTCGCCTCCTTCTCCTTCCTGCCCAGACGCCCCCGGGCGCTCTTGCCCCAGGTGTAGACCTCGCCATCTGGGGGGGCACAGGCGGCAGGCTGACCCGGCTGACCCCAAGCGCTGCCCAAAGGCTGGCGGGGGGGGCTCCGAGTCTCCCGCGCGGCCACTCACCTGCTCCCACTGCCAGGGTGAAGGCATCCCCACAGCCCACCCGGGTGACTCTGGTGCCCAGCAGCCCCTCCACCAGGTAGGGGGCCCGGCTGGCCCGGCAGGAGATGGGGCCCAGCTGGCCGTGCTGGTTGCTGCCCAGGGTGTAGCACTGGCCGGAGGCTGTGGGTGGAGAAGGAGGAAAGCGCATCGTGCCCTGGGGTTGGCAGGGCGACTGGGACCAGAACGGCTGTCGCTAAGCAATACGGTCATAAAACGAAGCATCGCGCGAGTGCGTGGCGTAACTGCCGGACTGTGGGCTGCTAAGTAAGATGTCTGGGAAGACCAAGCCCCCCCCCCGCTTCCCGCTAAAAGATCCTCAGGAATCGATTAATCTGTCCAAAGGCAAATTAAATCAGGCAAAAATTCCACCGGTTCCCCCTGGGAAGTAGTGTTCTGCAGGGCTCCCAAAATATTCAAATTCGTATTTAAATTACTGTTTAAATATGTAAATTAAGCTACAGGTTCTGCAGGGCTCCCATATTTAAATTTATATTTAAATTACTGTTTAAATATTTAAATTAAGTTGCAGGTTCTGCAGGGCTCCCATAATATTTAAATTCATATTTAAATTACAGTTTAAATATTTAAATTACATTGCAGGTTCTGCAGGGCTCCCATAATATTTAAATTCATATTTAAATATTTAAATTAAGCTGCAGGTTCTGCAGGGCTCCCATATTTAAATTCATATTTAAATTACTATTTAAATATTTAAATTATGCTGCAGGTTCTGCAGGGCTCCCATAATATTTAAATTCATATTTAAATGAAGCTGGAGACTTACGTTCGCCCTGCTGGCTAGCCAGCCTCTGCGCCCAAGCAGATTCGAGGGGCATACAGGCAGTCCTCGACTTACAACCAGAACTGATCCCAACGTTTCTGTCATTAAGTGAGGCATTCGCTGAGCTTCGCCTCACTTGACGACTTTTCTCACCTGAATGGTCACGTCCGTCGCTGAGGTCATTAAGTCAGTAACACGGACATTAAGCGAGTCTGACTCCCCCCCCTGCTGGCTTTGCTGGTCAGACAGTCGCCAAAAGGGGACCGTGTTACCCAACAACGGTCAGAAAATTAGGAGCCGGGGGTCAAGTGTCATTAAGTGTGAAAAATGGTCATTCAGTGTGAAAAATGGCCGCAAGAACCGTCGCTAAACAGACGGCGGTAAGTCGAGGGCGGCCTGGGCTCCGAATTAAAGCATCTAGAAAGGCTTCTCCATTTAATGGCCAGGGGCTGCCCTGGAGGGCTCACCGGTGATGGCTGCTGAGTGGGAGGTGCCGATGTCCGCGCCCACGATGGTCTCCTCGCTCAGGGGGGCCGAGCAGGCGGGGCTGAAGACCAGCACTTCCTCCACCTGCTCGGCAGCGGTGGGGGGCTCCCCATGGGGCAGCGTCCTGTCCTGGCCCAGCTTGTTATACCTGGTGGGGGGGGTGGGGGGGAAGAGAAGAGTCAGCGCCAAGCTGCCACCTCCCTCTTGAGCCCCTCCGGCCCGCTTGGCGCCAGGCTGCCCGTTCAAGCTCTGCCGGCAGCCGGTTCCCCCAGCCGAGAGGGGGGCTTTTTTAGCCCCCGGAAGGCAAACGGGGACCCCCGCCCTACCTGTTGCTGCCACAGGCCAGGATCTGATTCTTGGAGGTGAGGATCATGGACGCATCCATGCCACACAGGACCTCCTGGGCGTCGTAGCCAGAGGGGAGGGGCACCAGCTGTGGGGAGCTGTGGGACTCCAGGGTCCCCAGCCCCAGGCGCCCTAGGAGACGGGAGAAAGAAAAGGGGGGCTGTTAGAAGGGGCTCCCGCCAGCTCCCCCTGGGGGACCCCCCCCCGAGCAGGGAAGAGGCCAATGATTCGGGATGCTTCAGCCATCAATATTTTTTTTTTAAAGTTATTCTGCACTTCGTTATCCTAGCTTGCCTTCAGCAGCCTTCTTCCTTGTGGTTAATAATAATAATAATAATAATAATAATAATAATAATGTTGGAAGGGACCTTGGAGGCCATCTAGTCCAACCCCCTGCTCAGGCAGGAGACCCTACACCCTTTCGGACAAATGGCTGTCCAGTCTCTTCTTAAAAACTTCCAATGTTGGAGCATTCACTGCTTCTGGAGGCAGGTAGTTCCACTGGTTAATTGTTCTTGCTGTCAGGAAGTTTCTCCTTAGTTCTAAGTTGATTCCTTGATTAGATACCATCCATTTTCCTTCCTTCCTTCCTTCCTTCCTTCCTTCCTTCCTGAATTATAGAATCCTAGGGCTGGAAGGGACCTTGGAGGTCATCTAGTCCAACCCCCTGCTCAGGCAGGAAACCCTAGACCATTTCAGACAAAATGGCTGTCCAGTCTCTTCTTAAAAGCTTCCAGTGTTGGAGCATTCACAGCTTCTGGAGGCAGGTTGTTCCACTGGTTAATTGTTCTAACGGTCAGGAATTTTCTCCTTAGTTCTAGGTTGAATCACTCCTTGATTAGTTTCCCTCCGTTGCTTCTCGTCCTGCCTTCATGGCATCGATCTTCAAAAAGGAAGAACAGGCTGTGACTAAAGACAGCCTCCCTTAGCTTACTAGAGATGAATAGTCCTTAAAAGTGGTAAAGAAAGGCACAACTTGCTACCTGTTTGAAGAATAAATTCCCCAAAGGCTGCTTTTTCAACAAGGAACTGCTTGCAACCCCGGCGGCCCCCAGCTGTCGGCACACAGGCTGCTTTGAAGCGCAGCTCCTGAAGCTCCTTGCAGACCTTTGCTGCATTGGAGGATCTTGTGGGGTGATTCTAGGACTCTCCCTAAGCCAGGAGGGTCATATAAGCTAAAGGAGTGCCGGTTCCTTCTGTTGGTAAGTTCAAAGAGGGAAAGTCTAGAGCAGGAGTAGGCAACCTTGGCTCTTTTATGACTCGTGGACTTCAACTCCCAGAATTCCTGAGCCAGCATGGGGGAACTCTGGCCCCCTTCATGACTTGTGGACTCCAACTCCCAGAATTCCTCAGCCAGCATGGGGGAACGGTGGCCCCTTTATGACTTACGGACTTCAACTCCCAGAATTCCTGAGCCAGCATGACTCAACTTGGAAACAACCTGCCTCCAGAAGTGGTGAATGCTCCAATGCTGGAAGATTTTAAGAAGAGACTGGACAGCCATTTGTCTGAAATGGTATAGGGCAGTGGTTCTCAACCTTTTTAATGCTGCAACTCCCAACCGGTCGTAAGTCGAGGACTACCCAACCAGTCGTAAGTCGAGGACTACTCCACTGGTGCAGCACCGTTTGCAGAATGGGATTTTTGGTGGTCTCAGCAGGGCAGAGACAGCCTGGACAATTCCTATTGGCTTTTGAAAGCCAATAGAATTAGACTCTATTCAAGAGAGCCTCTTCTACTGGCTTTCAAAAGCCAATAGAATAAAAGGGAGTAGCACAGCTAAGGAAAAGGGGGAAAAAATGGCGGACTGTGTTGTTTGGCGACCCCCGTGAAATGGTCGTTCAACCCCCAATGGGGTCCCGACCCACCGGTTGAGAACCACTGGGTTAGGGTCTCCTGCCTGAGCAGGGGGTTGGACTAGATGACCTCCAAGGTCCCTTCCAACTTTACTGTTATTATTATAACCTCTCCCTTTCCCCTCAGCATGGCTGGTTCAGGAATTCTGGGAGTTGAAGTCCACCAGTCCTAAAAGAGCCAAGGTTGCCGACCCCTGGTCTAGAGAAAAACTCTCCAGGGAGCACCAGGGATCTCTCCCTGGACATGTGGGTCAGCTGGCCAGCTTCGGTGCTCACCGTTGTCGCCCCTGCCCCAGGTGAAGACTTCCCCTTCGCTGGAGAGGGCCAGGACGTGGGACGCGCCACAGGCGGCTTGCGTGATCTCGTATCCCAGCAGGGCCTCCACGATCTTGGGCTGCAAAGAGCAGGTCAGAAAGGGAAGAGGCCAATGGCGCTCACCCCCCCCCTCCCCGCCTCCCCGGCCTTTCTCCGCCACCTTCCGCGCCCCCGGGAAGTGCAGGTGAGGTTTGTCTCAAGGCAGGAGAAGGAAAAATCTGCAAGCTTCACCCACCAGGTCTGCTTTACGCCATCCCAGGGGAATCAGAATAACAGAAGGGACCTTGGAGGTCATCCAGTCCAACCCCCTGCTCGAGCTGAAGATCAGGGGTGTCCAACCTTGGAACTTCGTGGACTTCAACTCCCACAATTCCCCAACAAGGGAATTGAAATCCACAACTCTTAAAAGTTCCCAAGGCTGGACAACCCTGGTACAGGATCTCCTGCTCGAGCAGGGGGGGCTGGACTGGATGACCTCTAAGATCCCTTCCACTTCTGTGATTCTGTATTCTGATGTCTCCGTGCACCCGAGTTTCCTTTTAAATCTCTTGCGGCGTCTCAGCAGCCCCCTTGCGCAGTTTCCCTTTTTTTGCAGATGGAGGGCGGTGTGTGTGTGTGTGTGTGTGTGTGTGTGTGGATAAAATGAGAATTTGTGGCTCCCCCCTTAGCCCTGAGCCCACCGCGCCCTCCTCGGGGACCGGACCCCAGATGCTTGAGCCGAGGGCAGAACCAACCTGGCTGATGTCCACAAACGATCCGTGTCCTAAGCAGCCACTGCTGCCGCTGCCGAAGGTCAGGACAATCCCTCTGTCTGTGGGGAGGAAAAGGAGCCGATAGGATACCCGGCATATTGCGCGGATCCACTGACACACACACACCCCAATCCCAGCCCCCCAAACCAAGGCTTGCACCTGGCTGGGTCAGCCAGAGCAGCAGGGAACAAAGGAACAGGCCAGCTTGGATGCTCAATGGGGCTGAGGTCGGCTGGACCCCAAAGGACAGCAAGAGGACGGAGACTAAGGAAAGTAATCAAAGAATAGAAGAGAAGAGAAGAGAAGAGTAGAGAAGAATAAAAGAATAGACTAGACTAGACTAGAAGAATGAATAGAATAGAATAGAATTAGACTAGAATAGAAGAATGAAAAGAATAGACTAGACTAGAATGAAATGAATAGACTAGACTAGACTAGAATGAAAATAGAACAGAAGAATGAATAGAATAGAATAGAATAGAAAATAGAATGGAATAGAATAGAATAAGGAATAGAATAGAATAAGGAATAGAATAGAAAATAGAATAGAATAGAATAGAATATAGAATAGAATATAGAATATAGAATACAATAGAGAATACAATAGAGAATACAATAAAGAATAGAACATAGACTATAGAATAGAATAGGGAATAGAATAGAAAATAGAATAGAATAGAATAGAATAGAATAGAATAGAAAATAGAATGGAATAGAATAGAATAAGGAATAGAATAGAATAAGGAATAGAATAGAAAATAGAATAGAATAGACTAGAATAGAATATAGAATAGAATATAGAATATAGAATACAATAGAGAATACAATAAAGAATAGAACATAGATTATAGAATAGAATAGGGAATAGAATAGAAAATAGAATAGAATAGAATTAGAATAGAACAGAAGAATGAAAAGAATAGACTAGACTAGAAGAATGAATAGAATAGAATTACAGAATAGAATTGAATAGAAAATAATAGAATAGAATAGAAATAAGAATAGAATAGAATAGAATAGAATAGAATAGAATAGAATAGGAAATAGAATAGAATAGAAAATAGAATAGAATAGAATAGAATAACAGAGATGGAAGGGGCCTTGGAGGTCTTCTAGTCCAACCCCAGACCCAAAATGACCCCCCGCCCTAGATGACCAAGGTGAAGACAGGCAGGAACTGAGTCAAAATGAGTTTTAAACATCTTCATGTTCAGAAGAAGCCCAGACAAATCCATGGATTATCAAAAGGAGGATCAGGCACAGCACAATCGGATCTGCGGGATTCCAGTATTGCAGCCCAGAGGCCTCCAAACTCGGCCACTTTTAAGACCTGCGCCCTTCAACTCCCAGAATTCCCCAGCTGACTTTTAATTCCACCTCTGGCTGGGGAATTCTGGGAGTTGAAGTCCACAGGCCTTCAAGTGGCCTAGCCTGGAGACCCCTGCCCTAACGCTGCCTGAAAAACCTTTGTGCAGGGGGGGGGAAGCCCGTCTTGAATGAAGGAGTGAAAATTGAATGCATTTCTTCTCCAGTCCACTGCGAGCCTTGCAGGTGTCCAGGGGAGACCCCTCCCACCGGGGTCCACTTCCTGGGACCCTGCCAGGACCCCCCGTGCCAGCCCAGGCCTCTCCTACCTGTCAAACAGGCAGTGAAGAGATCCCCGCAGGCAACGTGCTTGATGGTCACCCCGGACTGGCCCTCCAGGAAGCGGCACACGAACTGGGGCTGCAGCTGCTCCGTGGCCCCCGGGAGGGAGGGCCCCCCGGCCGTGCCAAAGGGGGGCGGCTGCGGAGGGGGGGGGAAGCGGCAAGAGCGAGACCAGATCAAGCCGAGCTGCTCAGATTCAAAATCCAGCCTTGAATTGCAACAGCGAAGGGACTAGAAAAAGTGTTTCTCAACCTTGACGATTTTAAGGCGTGTGGACTGTGGAATTCTGGGAGTTGAAGTCCACACGCCTTAAAATTGTCAAAGCTGAGAACCACTGGACTAGAAGGAGAAGGAAGGCTCCTAGGCACGTGCAGAGGTCCTTCCCAGGGACCGTCTAACTCTGCCCATGGAACTTTGCCTTGGTTTCCCATTTGGGGCTGAGAACTGGGCCCGGATCCCGTCTGCTCTTCCAGCAGGAAGGAAAGAACCAGGCTGCAAGGAAGAATGAGGACCCAGATTGTTGGGGGCAATGTAAATATATATATACATTGCTTACTGGTGTACACCGCTTAGAGAGTGCTTGCACTTAAAGCGGTATATAAGTCTCATAAATAAATAAATAAGAGGGGAGGTGCCCTGGGGGGGCGCTTGTGTGAGCCCCAATCTCTCTCTGCTGGCTTTCTCGGGTAGAGAAGAGAGGCCTGCCCTAAATGGAGCAGCAGATCCCCCCCCACCTCCCCCTCCTCCCCTCTGCAAACCCCACATCCCTTCTAACACTGATGGCGTTCCCTAGTTGGGTCATGAGACGTCTGCAGGAAGACCACCCAGCTCAGAGATCAATAAAGACTCCACAATCTTCCCCCTCTCTCCTCTTCCTCTCCCCCCCTACTTCATCCCTTCCACTTCTCCTCCTCTTCCTCTTCCTCCTCTCCACAACCCTCCCTTCTAACATGGATGGCGTTCCCTAGTTGGGTCATGAAATGTCTGCAAGAAAAAAAACAAGCTCAGAGAGCACCAGGGACCCCACAGTCGTCGTCGTCATTGTTGTTGTCGTCGTCCTCCTCCTCCTCCTCCTCCTCCTCCCTCTACTCCACAAAAAAAAACTCCCTTCCAATACTGATGATGTTGCCTAGCTGGATCATGAAATGTCTGCACGAAAACCACCCAGCTCAGAGAGCACCAAGGACCCCACAGTGGTCTTCTTCCTCCTCCTCTTCCTGCTCCTCCTCCTCCTCCTCCTCCTCCCTCCCTCCCTCCCCAAGTGTCTGGCTGCCCCCCCCCCCTTCCCAGCTACTTCATTCCTTCTCTCCCCCGCCCACTTGGAGCTGAACTGGTTATTCAACATATTCAATTCTATTTGGCAAAAAGGGGGGGGTCTGTTTCGCCTTGGCAGGCCCCTTCTGCCTCTGCAGTGCCAACCTCGCTGGGGCCTGCCTAAAGCCCCCACCCCACCCCACTTGGAGCTGCCAACTGCCTTCCCAAAGGGGGCCTTGATGGGTTTTCTTTAAAAAGGGGAAAAAGAAACTGGAGCAAACTTCTAAAAGAGGGTTAAGCAGGACCACCGGGGAGGTGGGGGCTAACCAGCATCTCCCCAGCCCCTTTCCTCAGCAAGCAGAGAAGAGGGGGGCTGCCCCCTCATCCCTGGCAGAAACGAGGGGCTCTCACCTCCCACAGGACCAGCCGCCCGGATTTGGTCACGCCGGCCCTCTGCGTGCGGCCCGTGGACACCTGCACCACCTCGGTGTTCAGCATGGGCAGGCGGAGGGGGGTGGCGATGCCGGAGCCCCAGGTGTAGATGGAGGACAAGGCCGGGGGGAGGCCGGGCCTGGGGGTCCCGGCGCGGCCACCTGTGTCCGAGAGAAGGACGTCCGTGGGTGCTGGGGTGGGGACGCTGCCCTCTCCGGCCGCCCCCAAGCCCAAGAAGGGGAGCTGCAAGTCTGCCCCTCCCTCCCTCGGGGGAGGACCCCTGGGGAGACGGAGGGAGACCCCCCCCAGCACAGGCCCAGCCTTACCCCTCGCTCTGGCCGTGACAGCTGCACCCCCGGTCCTGCTCTGGGCCACGGCCGGTGCTGCTCTCCACGACTTCTCGGGCCTGCCGAGAGCACAGGAGACGGGCCACAATTTCAGCCTCAACGTGGCCAAGTGAGTTTTTCCCAGTGTTACGACCTTTCCTGCCACCGTCCTTAAGTGAATCGCTTCCATTAGTACGGGCAGTCCATTCAGTGACCGTGTGAAGTTACAACGCCACCGGAAAAAGCGACTTGTGACCCTTTTCCACGCTTTATGACCGTTGCAGCCTCCCCGCGTGGTCACGTGATCCAAATTCAGACGCTGGGCAGCTGACTCGCAGTTACGACGGTGGCGGCGGCACGGGATCCCCTTTTGCGACCTTCTCACAATGGGGGAAGCCGGGTTCACTTAACGACCAAGTGACTCACTTAATAACTGCTGTGTTTCACTTAACAATGGTGGCGAGGAAGGTCGTAAAATGGGGCAAAGCCCACTTCACAAATCTCTCACTTAGCAACCTACATTTTGGGCTGAACCGCGCTCGTAAGTTGAGGACCGCTTGTCACAGTCGTTAAGCAGATCTACTGTCCCCCTCTGACTTTGCTTGTCGGAAGGTCACAAAAGGGGATCACGTGACACACACACACACACACACACACACACGGGACAATGTGGTCGTCATAAATGCAAGTCGGTTCCCAACATTCTGACACTGCAACGGTCGTAAGTGTGAAAAACGGTCCTCAATCACTTTTTTCAGCACCGTTGTAACTTCACACGGTCACTAAATGAACGGCCGTAAATTGAGGATGGCCTGTATTTGTCAGGCGGGGGAGAAGAAGCAGGGAGGGGGGGTTGGGGAAACAGCAGGCCCCCCCTCCCCCCACTTGCCTCCTCATCCGGACGCTGCCCACGTCGGTGTAAAGGTCCAGCAGGGGCCGGACGCAGAGGGCCTCGGCCATGATCTCGTTCAGCGGCGGCCGCTTGGAGGGGTCCAGGTTGAGCAGGCTGAGGATCAACTGGCGCAGCTCAGGGCTGTAGCGGTCCGAGATGGGGGCAAAGGTGCCGCTCATGATCTTCAGAACCAGAGCGGGCAGGTTCTGCGGGAGAGGAGGGGGCGCCATCAGGGAATTTGCAGGAACTCCCCCCCCAAAAAAAAATTGCCCCAGGAGGGCAAGGGGGCGACAGCAACCCTGTGAGGTGGGTTGGGCTGAGAAAGAGAGCCACCTGGCTTCCATGCCTAAAGCGAAACTAGAACTCACCATCTCCTGAGGATTGGCCCCAAGTCAGCCAGCAGGCAGGACTAGAACTCACCGTCTCCCAGTTTCTGGCCTGGTGCCTCCACCTCTCTGCCTCCTCCACTGCTGCCTGCTCTGACTGGCACTAGAAGCCCCCAGGACCTGCCCATTCTGTGCACCCCCCTTACGGAGGAACCCTCTCTGTATAAGAGGGGTCCTTTGCTCCTGGCAAGACCCCCTCCCAGGTATTTATGGCCACAGACCCTCCCTGCGGAGGATATTTAGAATAGGAATAGGAATAGGAATAGAGTAGAATAGAATAGAATAGAATTAAAATAAGAATAGAATAGAATTAAAATAAGAATAGAACAGAACAGAACACAACAGAACAGAACAGAATAGAATAGAATAGAATATAGAAGAATAAATGGAATGGAATGGAATGGAATAAATAGAATAGAATAGAATAGAATAGAATAAATGTAGAATAGAACAGAACGCAACAGAACAGAAGAATAAATGGAATGGAATGGAATGGAATAGAATAGAATAGAACAGAACACAACAGAACAGAAGAATGAATGGAATAGAATAGAATAGAATAGAATAGAATAGAAGAATAAATGGAATGGAATGGAACAGAATAGAACAGAATGGAGTAGAGTAGAGTAGAATAGAAGAAGTGAAGAATGGAATGGAATGGAATAGAATAGAAAAGAAAAGAAAAGAAAAGAAAAGAAAATAAGGAATGGAATAGAATGGAACAGAACAGAACAGAGCTGGAAGGGGCCTTAGAGGTCTTCTAGTCCAGCCCCCACTCAAGCAGAACCACAGAACTTCACCAAATTTCAGCGGCCAGCCTTTCCGCTGGTTCCCTGCCAGCAGTGGTCAGAGGCGGTGCGTGCTGGGTGTCTGGGGCACCCCGGGGGCCGCACCGCACCAGAGAGAAGACCCCACCCCGACCCATCCCTTACGGCGGCCTCAAAGGCTCTCTTCAAGCTGGCCAGCTCATACAGGACGCAGCCCAGGGCCCAGATGTCGCTCTTCTGGTTGTAGGGCTTGCCTTCGCACAGCTCCGGGGAGATGTAGCACGGGGTGCCCACCACCTGAGGAGAGAGGCGCCCCAAGGAACGCCCGTCAGCCAAGCCGGAAACGTGGAAAAAAGGGAGAAAGCAGAAGCCCCACCCCCCCGTCTGGTTTGGTCACTTACAGGTAGTCCTCGACTTACGACCACAACTGAGCCCAAAGTTTCCATCGCTAAGCGAGACAGGGGTTAAGTGAGCTTTGCCCCACTTTACCACCTTCCTTGCCACATTTGTTAAGTGGATCACGGCAGTCGTTAAGTGAGTAACACGGCCGTTAAGTGAATCTGGCTTCCCCATTCACTTTGCTTTGTCGGAAGGTCGCAAAAGGGGATCAGGGCACTTTGCGGCCGTCGTAAATACGAGTCGGTCGCCAAGCGTCTGGATTTTGATCGTGTGACCATGGGGAGGCTGCAACGGTCGTAAGGGCACAGCGCTTTGGACCATTTCCGCTGCTCGTGGCAAGATGCCGCCTGCCACCGGCGCAAGGCGCCACAGGGCAGCCAGCTGCAAGGGACGGCAAGCGGCCGCTAAAGTCAAGCAGAGGCGCGACAAGTGTCGGGCTGTGTGGGAGGCCTGGCTGTGGTGGTCTGAAGGCAGTGATGGCGAACCTTTTAGAGACCGAGTACCCAAACTGCAACCCAAAACCCACTTATGCATCGTCGGGTGCCGGGCGGGTGTGGCCCATTGGCTGGGCATGGCTGCGGTGGTAACAGCAGACTGGGTGGAACTAAAAAGTTCAATCAATCAATTTCAACTTTGCAAGATCTTTATTTTTCCCACGAGAAGTTGAAATTGATTGAACTTTTTTTTTTTTTGCACAGGGTGGTGGAGGCCTAAAGCGAAAAGGTTTTATAAAACCCAGCTGAAGGCCTAGGACTGGGGCAACGGCATGCGTGCCCATAGAGAGGGCTCTGAGTGCCGCCTCTGGCACCCGTGCCATAGGTTTGCCACCACTGTCTTAAGGTAAGACACCCCCACCCCAAATTCTGGGAGCTGAAGTCCACCCATCTTAAAGTTACCAAGGTTGAGAAACACCAGCCTAGACCAGTGTTTCCCAAACTTGACCATTTTAAGGCATGTGGACTTCAACTCCCAGAATTCCACAGCCAGCAATGCTGGCTGTGGAATTCTGGGAGTTGAAGTCTACATGCCTTAAAATGGTCAAGTTTGGGAAACACTGGCCTAGACCATTCTTTACGCATGGACTTCAATTCCCAGTATCCTTTGCAATCACCCTGCTGGCTGAGGAATTCTGGGAGTCGAAGTCCATACATCTTAAGAGTTGCTAAGGCTGAGAAACACCAGCCGAGCCCAGGGATGGGGAACCTTGGCTCTTTTATGACTTGTGGACTTCAATACCCAGAATTCCTGAACCAGCCATGCTGGCTGAGGAATTCTGGGAATCGAAGTCCACCAGTCATGAAGGGGGCCATAGTTCCCCCATGCTGGCTCAGGAATTCTGGGAGTTGAAGTCCACCAGTCATGAAGGGACCATAGTTCCCCCATGTTAGCTGAGGAATTCTGGGAGTTGAAGTCCACGAGTCATGAAGGGGCCATAGTTCCCCCATGTTGGCTGAGGAATTCTGGGAGTTGAAGTCCACGAGTCATGAAAGGGCCATAGTTCCCCCATGCTGGCTCAGGAATTCTGGGAGTTGAAGTCCACGAGTCATGAAGGGGCCATAGTTCCCCCATGTTGGCTCAGGAATTCTGGGAGTTGAAGTCCACCAGTCATGAAGGGGGCCATAGTTCCCCCATGCTGGCTCAGGAATTCTGGGAGTTGAAGTCCACCAGTCACAAAAGACCCAAGGTTGCCTCCCCCTGCCCCCCTTCACCCAGAAACCGCCAGCGCAGACCCCCACCCACCCACCCAAAAGCCCACTCACGGTGTAGGCTTTGCTCTTGCTGCTGAGGATCTTGGAGATGCCGAAGTCACCGATCTTGACCATGGTGTGGTGCTTGTCCAGGAGGATGTTCTGGGTCTTGAGGTCCCGGTGCAGAATCTGTTTGGCGTGGACGTGGTGAAGGGCCAGCAGGATCTGCGCAAAGAAGTGCAGGATGGTCTCCTCGTCCAGGAGGGAGTTGCCCCGCTTGTGGATGAATTCAGCCAAGGTCCCACCTGGGCAGGGGAGGAAGAGGGAGGCGGCCTTAGGCCGGGGGTCCGCAGAGCCCACGACCCCCAGGGGGTTTGCTCCCCACTGCAAACCCCACTGTCTTTGCCTCTCAGCGTAGCTGCCGGCAAGTTCTCTGTCCTGCCTTTATTTTGAAACAGGAGCAGCCAACCGTGGCCCCTTTAAGACGTGTGGACTTCAGCTCCCAGAATTCCCCAGCCAGCTTTGCTGGCTGGGGAATTCTGGGAGTTGAAGTCCACAGTCTTAAAGGGGCCAAGGTAGGACGCCTCCAGTTTTGACCATGCACAACAGCTGGCCGGGGAATTCTGGGAGTTGAAGTCCACAGTCTTAATGGGGCCAAGGTAGGACGCCTCCAGTTTTGACCAGGCACAACAGCTGGCTGGGGAATTCTGGGAGTTGAAGTCCACAGTCTTAATGGGGCCAAGGTAGGACGCCTCCATTTTTTGCCAGGCACAACATCTAGCTGGGGAATTCTGGGAGTTTAGAGTCCACAGTCTTAATTGGGCCAGTAGGACTCCTCCGTTTTGACCAGGCACAACAGCTGCCGGGGAATTCTGGAGTTTTGAAGTCCCAGTCTTAAGGGGCCACAGGTAGGACGCGCTCCATTTGACCAGCACAACACTGGCCGTAAGGAGTTCTGGCAGTTTGAAGTCCACAGTCTTAATGGGGCCAAGTAGACGCCTCCAGTTTTGAACCAGGCAAAACAGCTGGCACGGGATTCTGGAGTTGAAGTCCACAGTCTTAAAGGGGCCAAGGTAGGACGCCTCCAGTTTTGACCAGGCACAACAACTGGCTGGGGAATTCTGGGAGTTGAAGTCCACAGTCTTAAAGGGGCCAAGGTAGGACGCCTCCAGTTTTGACCAGGCACAACAACTGGCTGGGGAATTCTGGGAGTTGAAGTCCACAGTCTTAAAGGGGCCAAGGTAGGACGCCTCCAGTTTTGACCAGGCACAACAGCTGGCCGGGGAATTCTGGGAGTTGAAGTCCACAGTCTTAAAGGGGCCAAGGTAGGACGCCTCCAGTTTTGACCAGGCACAACAGCTGGCTGGGGAATTCTGGGAGTTGAAGTCCACAGTCTTAAAGGGGCCAAGGTAGGACGCCTCCAGTTTTGACCATGCGCTACCAGCTGGCTGGGGAATTCTGGGAGTTGAAGTCCACAGTCTTAAAGAGGCCAAGGTAGGACGCCTCCAGTTTTGACGATGCACAACAGCTGGCCGGGGAATTCTGGGAGTTGAAGTCCACAGTCTTAAAGGGGCCAAGGTAGGACGCCTCCAGTTTTGACCATGCACAACAGCTGGCTGGGGAATTCTGGGAATTGAAGTCCACAGTCTTAAAGGGCCAAGGTAGGACGCCTCCAGTTTTGACCATGCACTACCAGCTGGCTGGGGAATTCTGGGAGTTGAAGTCCACAGTCTTAAAGGGGCCAAGGCCAGGAGACAAGGACATCTGGACTGCTGTGTCCTTTGATGGCCACTGTCCAGATACAGGTAGTCCTCAGCTTATGACCACACCTGAGCCCAGAATGTATGTTGCAGAGTGAGAAATTGGCTGAGTGAGTTTTGCCCCGTTCTACTGCTTTCATTGGCACGTTTGTTCAATGAATCCCTGCAGTTCTTAAAGTAGTAACACAGCTGTGATGTGAATCTGGCGTCCCATTGTCTTTGCTGGGAAGAAGGTCGCAAAAGAGGATCATGTGACCCCGGGACACGTAGACCATCGTAAATGTGAACCAGTTCGTCAAGGGTCCAAATGTAAATCACATGACCACGGGGATGCTACAACGGTCGTAAGTGTGAAAAGGGTCATACGTCACTTCAATATTGTTGTAACTTCGAACGGTCATTAAATAGAATAGAATAGAATAGAATAGAATAGAATAGAATAGAATAGAATAGAATAGAATAGAAAAGAAAAGAAAATATGGAATGGAATGGAGCAAGATAGAACAGAATAGAACAGAAGAGAAGGGACCTTGGAGGTCTTCTAGTCCAGCCCACTGCTCAAGCAGGAGAACCTATACCATCTCAGACAAGTGACTGTCCAGTCTCTTCTTATGTACCAATCAACTGGGCAAGAAGCCTGTCAAGGCATTGATTTAACAGCTAGCCAGCTTATGTAATGTGAGATGTCTGATGTAATGATGGGGAATTACTCCGCAGGGTCTGTGTCCCTTTAAGAGCCTTGGTATAAAGGGAAGGCTCCGCTGAAGTGTTCTCTCTCTTCCGTTTCCTGCTGTAACTGTGGTTTGTTGAATCCTGCTGTATTAGCACAGGTATGTCTATTGTTCCTGGTGTATGATGTTGTAGATAGCGTAAGATAAACCACCATTTAATATAGACCACTGTTTACTATGTTTACTCCTGGGTTATCTCGCGCAATAAGACCATGCACGCTCTGACAGAGCCCTCCCTTATCAGATGAGGACAATCTCAAATGGCATGAGCCTCTTAGTGACGAGATCCTAAGACAGTGGTGGCGAACCTATGGCATGCATGCCAGAGGCAGCACTCAGAGCCCTCTCTGTGGGCACGCGTGCCTTCACCCCAGCCCTGCCTCCCCCCATGGGCCTCTCACCAGCAGCCGCCCCCCGGGAGGAGAGTCGCCCCCGGGTGCGGCCTGCACAGAGCAGCGCAGCAAAGGACATGGCAGCGGGGACAAGACTCTGCCTTTGCGCTCCGTCATGAGCAGATGATGACGCAGGGTGCGGGTGGAGGGTGTGCCCACCATGGCGCTGCTGGGCCGCCTGCGATCTGTTGTGGCGGGCTGTGGAGGTGCGTGGCCCTGTAGGCAGGCGGGGCACGGGGTGGCGGACAGGGCGGGGTGGTTTTTGGGCACCCGGTCTCTAAAAGGTTCGCCATCACTGTCCTAAGAAAAAGTGGTTTGCCTTTGAGTGCTGCCACCGCGCACTCGGACAGAATTGCACCAAAGGTCCAGCAGGCTGAACAACCCCGCAGCACCAAAGTCTCTCTGGAAGGACCCGCAGAGTAAGCTGATCCCACACGTCGTATCCAGCAGGCAGGGACCCAAGACCAGCCAGCACCAAGGCTCTGCCAGCCTGGTCCAAAGGCCTGCTTAGGATAGCTTCCCGTTTGCAGCCCCAGCCAGCCAGGAAGAACAGGGAACGGCGGGGAGACGGCAAAGCTGCTTGCTGGTTTCCTCTCCTCAACCTTCTCAAGAGACTGGACAGCCATGTGTCCAAGCTGGACTCTGGAAAGGGGGCAGAGAAGAGCAACCAAGATGACCAGGGGGCTGGAGGCAAAAACATAGGAAGAACGGTGGCTGGAACGGGGTAGGTGAATGAGCCGAGGTGGCGCAGCAGTTAGAGTGCAGTACTGCAGGCCACTTTAGCTGACTGTGTTCACCAGGTCAGCGGTTCAAATCTCACTGGCTCAAGGTTGACTCAGCCTTCCAGACTTCCGAGGTAGGTAAAATGAGGACCCAGATTGTTGGGGGCAATGTAAATATATATCTATACATTGCTTACTGGTGTACACCGCTTAGAGAGTGCTTGCACTTAAAGCGGTATATAAGTCTCATAAATAAATAAATAAATAAATAAATAAATAAATAGGTCTAGTAGTCTTAACGAAGAGAAGGCCCAGGGGGGACATGGTGACCTCCTCCAATATTTGAGGGGCTGCCACAGAGGGGCTGCCAAAGCCCCTGAGGGCAGGACAAGAAGCAAGGGATGGAAACCCATCAAGGAGAGAAGCAATCTGGAATTAAGGAGATATTTCTTGACAGTGAGGACAATGAACCAGGGGAACCGAAGTTGTGAGGGCTGCTCCATCGTTGTAGGCTTTCAAGAAGAGACTGGATGACCCTCTGTTCTGAACAGTATAGGGCAGGGGTAGGCAACCGTGGCTCTTTTATGACTCGTGGACTTCAACTCCCAGAATTCCTGAGCCAGCACAGCTGGCTCAGGAATTCTGGGAGTTGAAGTCCACGAGTCATAAAAGAGCCACGGTTGCCTACCCCTGGTACAGGGTTTCCTGCCTGAGCAGGGGGTTGGACTGGATGACCTCCAAGGTCCCTTCTGCTCCTGTTATTCCATTAACTAAGACGATTAGGGGACTGGAGAAACAGTCATGTCACATTTTTCAGTGCCCCTGTAACTTGGAACAGTCACCAAATGAACTGTGGTTAAGTTGAGGACTGCCTAAAACAAGTGGAACCACTTGCCTCCAGAAGTGGTGGGTGCTCCATCATAGGAGGTCTCCCCAAAGAGACTGGACCATCATTTGTCCAGCATGGTTAGGAGGTCTCCTGCAGGGGGCTGGACTAGGTGGCCTCCAGGGTCCCTTCCCACTCTTGTTATTCTGCGCTCGGAAACCTAGAGCCAGTTCCCCCTTTGGGGAGAAGGGCCAGGGGTAGGGGTGGGGAGAACCAAGCGCAGGCTGCAGAGCGCAAAGCAGGGCCGGGAACGAGCAGGCAGGAATCCAATCAAAATTCAGACCCTTCCAATTCCAGGCTGCGGGTCAAGAGGAGGGCAAAGAGTGTGTGGGGGGGGGCTTATAATAATAATAAAGTTGGAAGGGACCTTGGAGGTCATCAAGTCCAACCCCCTGCTCAGGCAGGAGACCCTACACCATTTCAGACAAATGGCTGTCGAGTCTCTTCTTAAAAACTTCCAATGTTGGAGCATTCACCACTTCTGGAGGCAGGTTGTTCCACGGGTTAATTGTTCTAATTGTCAGGAAGTTTCTCCTTAGTTCTAGGTTGCTTCTCTCCTTGATGAGTTTCCACCCGTTGCTTCTTGTCCTGCCTTCAGCAGCTTTAGGGAATAACTGGACTCCCTCTTCTTTGGGGCAGTCCCTGAGATACTGGAACACTGCTATAATAATAATAATAATAATAATAATAATAATAATAATAATAATAATAATAATAATTATTATTATTATTATTATTATTATTAGGAACTGCTTCCATCCTGCGACGATATCTGTAATACCATCAAACATCCACATCTGCCTATCCCAGGTCC